GAGGACTCCTCGATGCACAGATCAACCTGCTCGGGCGCGCGGCTCTCGGGTCGAAGCAAGACGGAACCTCATGGGGTTTAGGGTTTAGGGTTTAGGGTTTAGGGTTTAGGGTTTAGGGTTTAGGGGTGGCTGAGTAGGTAACCTTTAACCTGTGGTTTATAGGTTTAGGGTTTAGGGGTCTAGGGGTGGGTTTATAGGTTTAGGGTTTAGGGTTTAGGGGTGGGTTTATAGGTTTAGGGTTTAGGGTATAATCCTACCATAATTGAAAAGGTTAACCTTTTTTGGGTTAGGGTATTCAGCCCCTCAGGAACACCAAGCATGTGGGCTCATTTCACAATCACGGAGCGGGTGATTCAAGACTTGACTGCGGACCATCTGGCAAAAGATGATGTCTGGCCAGATTTTGGGGACAGATCACCTTTACTTGATCAAGTTCTTGACACCTACAAGCTCTCGACAGCGACACTGGGTAGGTTCTGGGAGTCTTTTTTTGGCGGATCTAGAGAGTAATTGTTGTTGGTATGCCACCACTGCCAGAAGCATCCTTACCTGTTCCACTCTTGACGGTGCCTCCAGGACACTCCAGAAGGTTTCCAACCTGCTGTCCTTGCTGCAATGCGCAGCACAGAGGCGTTTTCCCATCCACCAGCAGAACTTCTATCTGAGGACATCTAGTCTACCCCCGATGCCCACCACCTTGGCTTATCATAGGGGTTGAAACGATTACCAACTGTCTCCCCTTCTAGTCTCTTCGAAAACCCTTTCGGAAGTAGTACGGACCCCATATTGCGTGCTTCGCGCTTGGGTGCGGATTTCGTCGTGTAGACAGTTTAAAGACTCGAAGGGGTGACCCCGACGCAAAGCCCAACTGCTGCGAAGGCCGCCCAATCACCTGCATACTCTGCTGCGCATCAATCAACCCTAAACCCTAAACCCTAAACCCTAAACAGCAATTTTCGAAACCGTTCCTCAAGCCAAAGTCCAGAGCACCCGGCCAGGACTCTAATCATGAGCGATTGCTGGGAAGGAGATCGCCAGCCTTTCCCACCGGAGCCTAAGCCAACTAAGACCATTTCCTATCGAGGTTTTCGAGTTCTGGATTTTGAGTTTGAGTTTGGGGTTTCAGGAAACCCGACACCCCAAGCCCCTGATTCATAATGGCCGCGGTCGTTTTTAGTAGAGCACTCATGGTCTTTCGTAGTGGCTATTTAGGGTGCAATAGAGGGTAGTTGGGCCTGCAGTCGCTTAAGGGTTTAGGGGTTTAGCTGTTTAGGTTCGGAGTTTAGGGGTGTGGGGGTTTGGGGTTCAGGGCCTCAAGGTTTAGGAATACGAAACCCCGCCAGATTCATAAGTAATTATTAAACCCTAAACCCTAAACCGTAACCCCAGGGCTGCAGTATCTGCTTCCCTTTTGAACCCTAAAGCCTGGCAACCCCTCCACCGTGTACTGTAGGGGCCGAAATAATTACCACTACTATTTTGGGGGCTCCCTTTTATAAGTATGGTATAATGGGCCCCAAAACCCTATTCTAATTATTAAGGCCCCTATAGTCCCAGCCTCAGGACCTGCCCTTGATGAGCCTTGATGATGTGGCAAGTAAGCGGACGAAGGTGGATTGGGAAGACCTGAAGTCGTAATGTGGTTTAGGGTTTAGAGTTTAGGGTTTAGGGTTCAGGGTTTAGGGTTTAGGGTTCAGAGTTTCAGAGTTTAGGGTTTAGGGTTTAGGGGTGGGAGGCCTGAAGCAGGAGATAGGATGCGAGACACCCATCGCTGCAGACCCGAAGCCTTTCATCCGAAGCTCCCCAGAGTGAAGCCCTAAAGCCTCCATTAGATTTCGTCGACACCGAGACGGCAGCCTTCAACTGAAGGCCGCAGAAACAGCACGATGACGAAGTAAGCCTGGCATAGGTTTAGGGTTTAGGGTTTAGGGATATGTTCCCTGCAGAAAGAAACCTATGCAAACCTGCTCCAAACGCGGCACGGAAGCTTTGGAAGCCTGCAAATCCTGGAAATCTACGGGCCTAATCGTCAGAAATGGGCTGGGCAGGGATATGTTATGTTATAGACTATAGTACAGTTATATGGGGAGACCACAAATGGGTAGTTTCACAAGCTGTCAGTGATACGAACTTCTGTATCATGGACAGACAAGCCGTCTTTCCAGTCATCGAAAACCTCACGGGCTGCAATCCAACAAGATCTCCTGAGAGCAGTGAAGCTAAAACCCCAAACCTGTAAATGCACAAGAACCTGAAACACAAAAACCCTTAACTTCACTTCGCCCTTATAAGCCCGTATATTTCGTATAGGACGCGACCCTGGCCCTGGAAACTGGTGGCCTACCAGAGACGCGGGGCTTCTTCGGCAGCAAGCCAGTGCACTTGGGGTTTGAGAGTATTTTGGGGGGCTCCTCATTATAATATTGGGGCCTAAATGATTGCCTATACTATTTTGGGGGCTCCTTATTATAATTATACTAGAATGGGCCTCTGACGGTTTAGGGCGAGGGTTGTGGTCGGGAGTCGATGACAGTGCCGCCACGCACAGCTCTCCCAAATTGACCCACCGATCTCCAAAGGAGTGAAAGGTAGCCATAACCCCATGGTACGGCTGATGGACAAAATCCTGCATGACCTTATATACCTAAACTATGGGGTTTATGGTACTACACTATATTTGGGTCATGCAGGGTTTTGTCCATCAACAGTAGTTCCTTTAGGGTTTAGGGTTTAGGGTGGATTCCCTAATAGGATCCTAACTATAAGCCCCAAAAAGGAACTACTATGGGGCCTATTTGGGTAAGTTCAGCCCGGTCGTTGAAGACGACGCCGACTTCCCGCGAGTCTCCACGTACCCTCCAGGTTCTTGCAAGCTAAGCCAAAGCAACTCACAGACCGGACTGCGGATCAGAGTTAGTATAGGGGCCTTAAGAATTAGAATAGGGTTTTGGGGCCAAATTATACTATAATTAGAATCAGGAGCCCTCAAAATAGTATAGGTAATTATTTAGGCCCATACATTAGCGGCTTCCGGCTTTTGGGGGGTCGGGAGAGTCGGATGACTGGCTCGGGACTATGAATTAAGAATATGACAAGAATGGAGCAAGCAGAAGGGCAGCTAAATGCTTCTTTTGCTCTGGCATTTAGTGTCGTTGCCTTCAGGGTCTCATGATGAGTCTCATGTTAGGGGGTTGTGAGTCATGTGGACCAAAGATCTAGATAGTTCAGAAGGCGGTTTTGCTTGAAGCGCTTCCAAGCATGGGTCTTGTGCTGGTCAAGTAGTGAGTAGGAAGGAAGGCAGCAGCAAGATCTCATGTCGAAGCGATCTGAGCAATCCCGAAGGCTTCTCGAGGGTCCTCTTGCAAGTGGTGCTGCCGCCGCACGTGGCCAACGACCTGGCCTATGTCAGCACAGACTGGTTCGATAAGGATGGCCCTCCACCTGGCCACCAGCATAAGGATTGGAGAGATGTCAGCTTCATGGATGCTTACAAAGCGTTGAAGAACACGGCGCAAGGTGACGAGGTCACGGCACGGGTGCTCTTGAAGCGGGACTGGGGTCTTGCGCCCTCCGATACGACAGAGTCCGTGAAGATCATTGCCACCTCCATGGTCTTTGCCGACTCGGTGTTTTTGGAGTTCGCCGCGAGCGTCCTAGAGGACATCCGAAACTACGTGCTGCAGCACCCAAGGAAAAAAAGAGAGGAGAGCTCACCGTGGCCATCGTGGCTCCTCAAGGTCGTCGTGCCGGTGCTGTCTCTTGGGCTGCTGATGGGCTGTCTTGGGTACAGGCGCCATCACCTGAGGGCAGCAACCCCACCGATGACAGATGTGGAGCTTCCCGAGCATCCATTGCGGCCCTAGGAGAAAGTAGAGGGTTCGCTCATTAAACCCGGATAGACTATGCGAAACGAGGGAAACATCAAAAGCTTGGGCCTTTTTGCAGCCCACATAGGCTTCCATTTCAAATTCCAGGAAGGAAGAAGGAGTAGTGAGCTGCAGCCATCTTCTGAGCCGCGGAGCCTACCTAGCTTGCGTTTTAGTGTCCGAAACGTCAAAGTGAAGAGCTCTGAGCGCCAGTGAGAAACTGTCATGAGGAGCCCGAATCCCAAAACTTGATCCCTACGCCCGAACCCTCAACGCTTACGTAACTCTGATGACCCGACGGATAGAAGGAGGATGAAGAAGGACTTCTTGAGAGTGTTTGGATTTAAAGACTTGTGGGTCGAGAGCTTTCGGGGAGGTCGTTGGTATTTTGTCATATAGGGTCGGGGGTTTAGGCCTCGGGATTTGAAGAGCTTGTAAGGATTCAGGAGGCTTACTGTGGCGGCGGCGCAGTCGTGAGTTGGGAACTGTGATACGGGTTGAAAAGTTATAGCTGACGCATTATGTTTAAGCACGGGCTTTCGTTTTTATCCGGGATTGGAGGAAGTTTCCAGCATTTTGGTTCCAGGGCTTGGGCAGTGAGGCCTAGAAATGGGGCCCTTTCAGGTGCAGAGGCCCCCAAACTAAGAGAAATCCTAAACCCTCCACATGGGTTTCAACTACCCCCAGGCCCTAAAATCCCTAAAGCGCCCCTAAAGCGCCCCAAACCCTAAACCCTAAACCCTAAACCCTAAACCCTAAACCCTAAACCCTAAACCCTGAACCCTGAACCCTGAACCCTGAACCCTAAAGCCCCAAGCATGAGCCCTTGTAGCTTATGGCCGCAGATCGGGCCCAGCTCGGCAGGTCGAACGCTGATTTCGGGTTAGGGTTTAGGGTTTAGGGTTTAGGTTTTGGGGTTTAGGGTTTAGGGTTTAGGGTTTGGGGTTTGGGGTGTAGGGTTTTGGGGTTTAGGGTTTAGGGTTTAGGTGGCTTGAGGACTTTAGGGATTAGGGCTTCGGGGCTTTAGGGATTAGGGTTTGGGTTTTGGGGCTCAGGGCACGATAGGACTTTAGGACTTTAGGCTATCAGGGTTTGGAGAATCCAAGCGCCGACTCATGATGGCGGTGTAGACTCTAGGATGCAAAGTGATAGCCCACGCCATGGCTCTCTGGTTTCTGCTCTTATTCCTGACCTTGACTTTCGGCGTAGTTTCGGCGGAGCGCTTTGATGCATCCGGGTTGTGAAGCACTGCTCCTTTTTCTTTGCGTCGTACTCTGTTTCTACAAAGTTTGTATAAAGTAGTTTATGCGGCACGATTGCTCCAGAACACAGGAGTACGTCAAAGATGTCGAGAGGGGGAAACTGTTTACGGAGGGAGGCAACGAGTGGTTGCGGGCCGCTGTTAAAAACGTCGAGGAGCAAAACGAGGACAAAGTTGTGCTGTACCACGCCCCCTGACATGATTCATTAGGTCCTTCTGCCACTTCGAGTGATTGATAAAGTGGAGACATGGCTAAACTCCCCTAGTTATGCCCTACACCCCCGACGCCGCCCGACAAGGTGTTGCCGCTGAACGGCTACCTGATGGCTTGGCTGGTGCATGGCATCACGGCCAAAGAGAGCTTGCAGTGGCAGAACACACCGGGCGTTTCTACTGAGCTGGACTTCAGTCTCCGCCACTTTGAACCTGGCATGAGCTTTCCGTCCTTCACGCGGCACCTCTGCCGAACTGTTCATGGGTTGGGTCGTAGGATTTGTAGGCACCCGAATTCAGGCCGAAACTTACCAAGTAGCCTTCGGGACCCTGTGGAAGACGCATGGGTTCTACTTGAGACAAGCAGGACAAGCGTCTCATCATTAGTTCATTCCGACATGTCCCCCTGCAATTCCGAGGGATCTTCCACAGGGATAACGTAAGTCATAATCGCCGTGGAGCCGCTGGGCAGCTTCACTCCACAGTGTCGTCCACAGTGTCGTTGTACGTGCGATCTCGTTCAGTCAATACCGTCGTGTACATACAAACACTCGAAAATGCTAGTATGTCTGTATATAAACGCTTAGACATGAGTAGCCATGTATCTATAGCCGACTTTTCTTCGCAAGGCCGACCTAAACCCTGAACCCTAAGCCTTTTTCAACGTGCCGTCAAGTGCAATCGAACCCCGTTGAACCGGCCCAAAAGGCGGCTCTGAAGCCCAGGCACAATGCATCCCTCTGTGTTGCAGACTGGAACAAAAAAGTGCGCGAGGCCGATCCGAACACAGCGAAGGTGGGCCGGGTTTTTTGTGGGTTTTTGCTGACTTCAGGCTCGGATCCATCAGGTTTCAGGTTTAGGGTTTAGGGATTTAGGGTTTTGGGTTTAGGGCTTAGGGTTTAGGGTTTCAGGATTCGTTTGAGGCTTCCAACGTCTTGGGATTTCGGGGCGTGATAGACTTCTTGCTCAGCGTTTCGGGTTTAGGGTTTCGTGCTTAGGGTTGTATTGTCTACAGACTATAGGGTTTTCTTCCTGGTTTTGGTGTTCAAGAGTTTAAGGTGCGAGAGACGGGGTCACCTAAAACGTGTCTTTGGGGTTTCTGGTTATACGGGTGATATACCCCAAAACCCCATTCTAATTATGAAGGCACCTACAGGCTCTTGTGGATTTGGGAGTGTCCGGCTCGGAGGATATGAATCAGGAATCAAGGCACTGCGGTTCTATGGTTTGGAATTGATGTGGGGGTTGTGAGTTTACACGGCAATTCACATAAGTCAATCATCGAACCATGGGTTCAGGAATACATATGGAAACAATAGACAAGAGGAACCTCCCTGAACTGTGAGGACGCCACGGCAACGTCCAGATAAGCCCAGGAGAAAGGTGTTCATGTGGGTGACCCAACTTCATGATTGAGACCACCAACCAAGACATCATCCCAGCCCAGCTCCAAATCCCAAACGCGGTCAGACCCTCTAACCCTGAACCCCGAACTCCCAAATCCATGAAGCCCTACAGCCCTCAAGCCCAAAACCCTAAACCGTAATCCACCAACCCCACCGAAGGACAACTAGTTTACCGAGTCTCCTCTTTCGCCACCAGGTCCTTGGCGATGGCGATCGGAGCAACTACTTCGGGTTAAAAAAGAGACCCTACAAGATCACATACGGCACGACATCCAAGGTGGATCTGCCATTTTGTCGAGATAGAAGCCTTGAGTTACCGGTACTTACCAAACCCTATCCCAATTAAGGCCCCTGCAGCAGCTTGATTGGGCCGATGTTTTTGAGGTCAAACTTGTGAAACCTGAAACATCCTAACACCCTTCGCTGGAACCTGGTTTCCTGGGACATACTCCAGCCCCAGGAATATGATGACTGCCACGCCCTCGCACTTTGGCTTGGAAGAGGAATAAAAATTCTTTTGCCGACTGGTTTGTTGAGCCTGTGTTCCATTGTGATAAACTTTCCTGTCGTATCATACCCCTATGAAGAATCGCAGCGCGAAAATGGCCCACCCCCAGCCGAGGTGTATTCTGAGCTGGTGGAGGACAACAAGAAGAATGGCCCGCTACTGGAGGAAAGAGCCCTGGCAAATGTCCGCACGGCCAAGCAGTTCGTCGAGTACTTGGACGACAAGGCAGTAACTGCAGATTCTGCTGGGGGGTGGTTCAGTGTATGCTGTAGATCCCCACAGTCTCCATTGTAGTTCCTTGTTTTCGGTTACCTTACAGGATCCTAATGTCAACTTGGTTAATCCAAGAAAAGAACAACAACGGAGTCAGACTACCAGTTCTGGAAGCAGAGGCCCTAAACCCTAAACCCTAAACCCTAAACCTCAGTGAGGCCCCGGTTGTCGGGTTTGCCACGGCTCAGGTCGGTGAGAAGTGGCAGGACGCGTCTTTCCCTAATGAAATGGCCGGGATGACGACAGTAGGTGTCCAAGACAGACTCTTGGTTCCGACCAGTTTGAGCTTTTGGTTGGCTTCTGTTGAGTCGAATACCTCAGTCAAGTTCCAAGCAAGCTTGACGAAGATCCCGCACGCATGCTGCATCTTCACTACCGATTGAAAGGCCTCCTGTCAATGGCAGATCAGCGCAGCACATAGTGACATAGTGAAAAATAGCGAACAACAGTGCTTCTTCATTAGAACAACTTAGTTGAAGTTCCTTAACAGCATATAATATGATATAATATAATATAATATAATATAATATAATATAATATAATATACTATAATATAATATATTATACTATAACATAATATAATATAATATAATATAACATAATATAATATAATATAATATAATATAATATAATATAATAAAATATAATATAATATTATATAATATAATATAATATAACATAGTATAATATAACATAATATAATATAACATAATATAATATAATATAATATAATATAATATAATATAATATAAGATAATATAAGATAATATAAGATAATATAATATATAATATATAATATCTATCTATCTATCTATCTATCTATCTAT